CAGGCAAAGTCTCAAGGGAACCCATATGTAGATTTCTGGAGCTATTTCTCTGCATAGCTCCCTCCTCTCTGGTACTTTTCCCTGCAAATTCTAGCTACTTCAGCCACCTAGAATTCTGTTCTCTGCTTTTCAACGCCAGGAGATTGCCATGCTCTATTTGGGATCCCCCTCCCTGCACTGTGGTCCAGAAAGTGCCTCAAGGCTGAAAGTCAGGGCAGTCATAGAGCACATCTCTTTTGTTTACCTTCTCACAGAGACCACAGCCCTGCCCTGACTGTGGTCTGCTCTCTAAAAGCAGTTGTTTTCTAGTTGGAGGGCAAGTTCAGTCCCAGGTACACCAATGTGATTCTTGCGGGTGATTCAGATGCATAATAAAGGTTAGGGAAGTTCGGATTCAAGTCTCAGTCCCCAGATCTTGTGTCCTTTCACCTTAACACTAAAGTGGCAGCAGTTCTCCGAGCCTTAGCCGTGTAGATGCCTTTGATTAACCTGGTGGGTCACTATTAAGAACCAAACTAGGAGATCTTTTTTAGCTGTGAAATCCACAAATTGGATTGTTTAAAAGGAAAACAACGCAGAGCTTTTACCTTCAGAAGGACGGGATTCAATTATTGCTCGAATAATTCCATAAAAACTAGCAGGCCTGTGACCTAGACACACATTCCTGGAGGAGTTGAGTTTTAGCCTCCCTCAGATTCTAGAAATGAACACAAATACTTTTCCACATGGTTACAGGATGTTACAGTTGTTTGTTTTTTGGAGATGATACTGGTGGGATGGTAATGAGTCAGCTTTGTGACTGTGGCAGGAAAGGCTGATGGGAAACTGATCTTTTGATTGTCAGAGCTGGAAAAGCCCTCAGAGCCCACCAGTCCAACCCCTTCATTGTATTGTGGGGTGACGTGGGCTCCAGAAGGGGAGACGCAATTTCCCCAGGGCAAGTTGTTACCATGTGTCCTGGGGACCCACAGTCACACTGTCATTTTACAAACTACTTTCAAATTGATAATGTTGTGCTGTCCGTTTCTCATTGGCTCAAGGTCACACAGGAAGTCAGTAGAAGACTCAGCACTGTGTTTTGTACTCCATTTCTCTGAGTGATAGTTGTAGATGCTTGATCCCCAGTAAGAAGAGACCCCGGCATTCAGGTCCTTGCATTCTCTGTGCTGAACTGGTCACCTAAACCCTTCTTACTCTCTACCTCCCAACCTGATTCCAAGCTTCTTAGTTCCAGACCCCTTGCCTCATCTCTTGTTTATACCCTGACACCCCTCCTCAGGCCTAGTAGTTGATACTGCCCTTCTTCCTCAACCTCTCTTGACATTCCACAGGGTCTGGCACATAGTAGGCCATCAGCAAATATTTGTTGAGTGAATTCATGAATATGCCCTGTCCAGAGGAATTTTTAAAATCGTTTTTATTGTATAAGAAAATACAAAAATAGTAAATAATGTAAATGCATGGCTTAATGGAATATTATAAGGTGAGCCCCTTTGTAACCACCATCCATTTGAGAAATAGAAGTCCTTCCATGAGACATCACAACCGCCTCCTCCTCCCCATCAGTAACTACTATCTTGACTTATTTAGAATCTCTTCTTTGCATTTTAAAAATTTTTTATCACTCAAATGAGCATCCATAGGCACTATAGTTTAGTCTTGCACATTAAAAAATTTTGATGTATTTTAAGTCTCATTTAATCCATAAATTCCCCTCCTGTCCCTTTGTTTTCCTTACCACTTATCAGTGAAGAACCTAGGCCTTTCACCTGCAGTTTCCCCCAGTCTGGGTTTTGCTGATTGCACCCTTGTGTTCCCTGCACATGGCTCCCGAGTCCTTTGGGCATTACCCTAGTCATATTTGTTTTTATTGTAAACAACTGCTTATCGCATGCCTCCCCTTTACAGAAGCCTGTAAGCTTGGTGGCCTCATCCACCTAACAAAGAGCTCAGAGAACACATTATTTCTGCTTTTGCAGAATCACAGCTCTTTAGTAGACATTTAAAACCTGAGGTAGAGCATGCTGGCGATTTCCCATGATTTAGAATAAAGGCTATGATACGTACTCTTCAAGTTGTTGTGTGGCTGTTTTTCCCCTTCTGCTCTCATGCCTGTCTTCCAGCCAGCCGTGCACCTGACTGAAGCTTCATGCCTTGTCTATCTTGAGGCTTTGTACATGCTGCTTCCTCTGCCCTTCTTCAGTCTTAGCTTAGCCATCACTTCCTTCTGGAAGCCCCCCAGACTCACTGATCTGATAGAGATGTCTCTCTTTTATGATCCTATAGCCTGGTAACTTTCCCTTAACGTAGCCCTTATCACATCGACTGCAATTGTCTGTTTATCTATCTGCCTGCTCCCTGCCTCCTGCCACTAGACTGTGAGTGGCACAGCCTGTGGCTTGCTCATCTCAGTTTCCCCAGTCTGCACAGAGTCCGGCATATTAGTAGGCTATCAGCAGATATTTGTTGAATGAATGAAACAAACCCAAACTTGTTCATGTCTTTCTCCCCACTGCAGTCCTACTGCTCCTGGTTGACTCCTCTACCCTGGGTTGAAATCTATGTCTAAACAGTGGCCTCTTTTAGGCACCAACTCTAACCCCCTTCTCTATCTCCACCATCTCGCAGGATGCTTGGCGTCGAGTAGGCACTGAATAAATACACTCCTGATGTTACTTTTTCTCCCTAAAATCGTTATTAATGGATAAGAAATCTACTGTTTCCATACAACTAGATCAGTTAACGTGAAACTTATTTCTGTGCTCAGTTCAAATTTTAGAATCATTTTTGGGAAGTGTAACAAAGTTCCTCTTCACATTTCCCCACCAAAGTGGCCTTTGGAAAGTTTGGGGTCCCCCATTCTCACCATGAAAGCTTTTCTTAGCAAGCACACATTGCACTCTCCCAGCTCTGGGCCTCTTTCATGAGTCCACCCCTATCTCAGGGAGCATGGGGACTAGGTCTTACATTGCTGTTTGCCTCAGTCCCTGCCAGAAGCCCCAAGTTTCTCATCTTCTGCCCTCTTAACCCCACAGCAACAGTTCATGCTAGCGCACAAAGCAAAGACTCAGGCTCCCAGCTCACAGCCTGTCGCTCCTTCTCTCTCCTTCTCTCTCCTTCCACACTCTCAGTGGCATCACTTTATCCAATGCCATGGTTTTGCAGCAGGAATTCATTGAATCATTCTCTCTCTCTCTCTCTCCTGGGTCACTCATAGGAGCACATGAACATGCTGTTATTTCTCTTGTCTGAAAAACACACTGACTTAAATCACACTGTCTTGTCCTTCTCATGAGTGGCCAACTCTCTTCTCAGAGTTTTATGCTGTCTGTAAAGGTTTTGCCTGGCAAGCACTGTTTCACCCTCCCTGTCCAACATGGAGGGACTGCCAGCTTCCTGCTGGCTGCATCTTGCCACAGCCTCAGGGGAGTTTTTTCTTATAATTGTGGGACATTTGTGATGACTGGTTGTCCACTCTTTAGGGCTTCTTTGGACTCTCAACAGCCTCAGGGAAGGAGCTGATAACACCCAAATGGCTGCTTGTCCTCTTTCCCTGGCCTCTTGCTCAGAGCTGGTGGGCTTACCAAAGTGTCAGGCATAAACGAAGCTAAAGATACAAAAGACTTCCTGTCCCAGTGGTCACCATGCCCCTGGCAGAATCCAGTACTTCCTGCTGTCACACACGCACAGGAGAGAAAACCACAGAAGCTATAGTCCTCTCCCGTTGCGTTTGCCAACTGCAGCATCAAGCATCTTCGAGGGAAGAAAGCCCTACCGTCAGCCCATCATCCTGTCCCCCTTCTCCGTGCTCAATTTCCAGCTGGGCCCAGTGCCACAGTTCCCTACAGCAGAAAGGGAGGATGTGCTGTCTACTCAGGTGGCAAGCAGTGAGCAAAGGGTTCCTAAACCTGAGAAGATAGGAAACTCTAAGAAGTTCTCCACTTTCTTCTCCCTGGTTCCAGGAGAGGGCTAAGGTAGCTGGCAGATGCAGAGGGCTCTGGTCAATTGCAGATACCTCTTTTCCCAGACCTCATACCCTCGGAGGTAGTTCAACCATGTATCTGATGAGATCTGCATCCCTTCTTTGTACCGAACCAAGATGCTACCATCTGCAGCAAAACATTCGGGGTCAAAGAGTGAGCGGGGAGTCAACAGGCCCAGGGTCCTAGTTCTCACTGGGCGCACAAACCAGCCTACCACGTCCCAGGGCTGGTTTCTGTGGAATACCATTCTCTTTTCTTTTCTGATCATGGACTAAGCTTTTCCTGGTCATCTTACCATAAGGCTTGGCGCTTTCTGGGATTCCCATCGCACTAAAGAAAGTTACTTTCAATTCTTGCAGTGTTTCTCAACAGGGCACTGATAGCTTTAGGCTAAACTATTCCTGTTGCCTGTTCTCATTCTTTATGACAAGCAAAACACACATAATTTCAGATGCACAAGTGTCTGCCATCTTTAAAAATAACCACTTGACCCCAGAGCTCTCCTCCCCTTTACAGCCAGCCAGCTCTAAAGAGTTGGCTACATTTACCCTCTCTACTTTTTTATTGGGTTATTCAACACTAGGGGTAGAAAGATGATAGAACTTGGCTATTTATCATAGAAAGAATTTCTCATATTTTTTTCTCAAGATTTCTGCAAGGTTTTCTCAAGGTCTCTGCAAAAAAAAAAAAACAAAAAAAACAAAAACAAAACAAAACAAAACAAAAAAACCTCCTGGAAGTAATAAACAATTATAGCAGAGTTACAAGAGACCAGGTTAATATACAAAAGTCAATTGCTGTCTTATATACCGGGAATGAACAATTGGAATTTTAAATTCAAAAACACAACACCATTTACATGAGCACACGAGTAAACTACTGAGGTATGACTCTACCAGAACATGAACTTTGTGTGTCACCAGTCGAATGGCTGATTTGCATCTCTTCTGCTGTCCTTGTCATGAAGTCAGTTCTTGGCAGAGCCAAGTAATTCCTTGTTGATTCGCCTCTTTGCAGGCCTGGCGAAAGCGCTGGTTTGTCCTCCGGCGGGGCCGCATGAGTGGCGACCCAGATGTCTTGGAGTACTACCGGAACAAGCACTCCAGCAAGCCCATCCGCGTGATAGACCTCAGTGAGTGTGCCGTCTGGAAGCACGCAGGTCCAGGCTTTGTTCGGAAAGAATTTCAGAATAATTTCGTGTTCATTGTCAAGACCGCTTCCCGTACATTCTATCTGGTGGCCAAGACTGAGGAAGAGATGCAAGTGTGGGTGCATAGCATCAGTCAGGTCTGCAATCTCTGCCACTTGGAAGACGGTGCAGGTGAGAACGGATCCAGGGCCCCTGCGTGCTGAGGGGTTGTCTGGCATGCTGCACTTGCGCTGGGAAGCTACTGCAGGAAAACGGGCCGCGGTGCCAGACCTCCTCATTTATATCAGAGCTATCCCCCCATTTCCCATCACACATAGTACTCTGCAGTTCCTAGAGACTACAGTCTTTCACCTGCTTCTAAGGTTCAGGGCCAGATGTGAGAAGGCAGGCTCCATCCACAAACTGACCATTACTCTCATTTAGCTGCAGTTGGGATGCAAGCAGGAAAGCAAATGAGGGTAAGGACAACCCACGGACTCTGATTCCCCCCCCCCCCGTGCTTTTCTAGAAATATCAAATATCAAAATCCAAAGTTAGTGGAGATTTAGCATTTCTGGTGCCTATTGGGTTATTCGAAGCCCTGGTGGCACAGTGGTTAAGAGTTCGGCTGCTAACCAAAAGGTCAGCAGTTCGGATCTACCGGCTGCTCTTTGGAAACACTATGGGGCAGTTCTCTGTGCTATAGGGTCACTATGGGTCAGAATCAACTCGACGGCAATGGGTTTTTTTTTATTGGGTTATTCAACATTAGAGGTAGAAAGTTAGAACTTGGCTATTTATCATAGACAGAATTTCTCATATTTTTTCTCAAGATTTCTGCAAGGTTTTCTCAAGGTCTGTGCAAGGGAAATTAGGTACAAGTTTGCATTGGGCAATTTCTGGGTGGTGGGAGCAACTAACTCATAAGGGGAGAGAGGTTTATATAAGGTACACTTAGCACCAGTGATGTTCAGCTGAGACTGTGTGGTCACGTGTCTGGGGACCACCAGGCACTGGGATTGTTCAGATGATGACTCATGTGCTCTAACGCTTGCTCACACTTTATAGGAGTTTGTGTATATGTAACTATGCAAATGAGCTCCCTCTCTCTGTCTCTCTGTCTCTCTGTCTCTCTGTCTCTCTCTCTCTCTCTCGTGCGCGTGCGCACACGTATCTTCCTAGGTAATATATCAGGGTTACGATTCAATTCCCTTGAAGGATTTTCTTGTTGAGCCCTGGGACATCATTGCACCATGCCTTGATCCTCAAAACTATGGGATTGTGAATCTGGTTTCTTTCCGTCTCTTAGTCTAGTAGACAACACCTTACTCCTAAATCTCATGCTTCACAGTAGCTTCAACATTTAAACGGTTACTGTATCCTTTCCATCATCTGCCACTGAAGCATCCATATTACAACCAAAACCAAAAACCAAACCCGTTGCCATCGAGTTGGTTTCAACTCCTAGTGACCCTCTACGACAGAGTAGAACTGCCCCATAGGGTTTCCAAGGCTGTAGTCTTTATGGACTGCTACATCTTTCTCCCCAGAGTTGGCTGATGATTTGAACTGCCGCCTTTTCAGTTAGCAGCCGAGCCCTTAGTCACTGCTAAGTGCCACCAGGTGGCAATGAAGAGTCAAACTTGGTTTGTTTCTCTTCTGTTTCTTTCCTCACCCAGAAGTTAAGAAGTTATCCCAAAGCATATACATAATATGTTTCCCAACAACCCAAAAGGAACAGGAATGAGTAAGGAGCCAGGCAGCAAGTACAAAGTCCTGGCATGAAGTTGGAGGAAGCCAGAAGACCTCCTCATAACCCCCTTTGGTCCCTGTGGCTCCCCTTAGCTTTTAGGTGCATACATATGAGGGCAGAATCTTCTTCATCTGAGAACCACTCCAAAGGGTTTCCTGTGGCTTCTCACATACAGTGTTTGGTTCTGTCTCCAGTAACCATAACATAGTTAGCATGTCGTGTGTATGCTGGCCAGGAGCTCTATTAAACGCTTTATACACATTAACTCATCTTATCCTCATACCGGTTGCTTTTACTGGGAGCTTCTGATCTGGAGTTCCCATCAGCTTCTTTATTTGTGTGTTATTTGTCTGTCTCCTCTACTAGAATGTAACTCCAGTGAGGGCAGAATATTTGTCTCAGCTGTACTGTCAGTGTTAGAACAGTTGCAGGCACATATTAGATGCAGTAGTAGGTATTCTATATGAACATATATATGCATATGTGGCTGCAACAGTGGGCTCAAACATAGGATGATACAGGACTGGGCAGTGTTTTATTCTGTTGTACATAGGGTTGCTATGAGTTGGAACCGACTCAACAGCACCTAAAAACAACAACAACGGGCATATGTATCTATATATACATATATATGTATATACACATACATATCTACATATATGCATATATAAGTACAGACGTGTGTGTATATTTGTATGTATACATGTATGTACATATATGTGTGTGTATATATATATGTATATATGTATGTGTTTGTTGAATGAATAAACAATGATGTGGGGTGGCTGATGAGGGCCATAAAGGAGCTGTGTGTAGACTATATAACTGCAGGTTTCTAGGCCAAGAAAGCTTGTTTTTTAAACTTTTAATTGATTCAACACTTCACTCTTGGAACATTAGCCTTCTTTTCCCAGACATTGTTTATAGCTTGGGGAAATGGTCTTCTCCATCAGTACAAACACCAGCTGTGATTTGCATCTTACATTTGGCTTCTGAGCTGCTGTTTGAGAAATCGTGAGTGTTATAGCCATTCTTCAAATGTTAACCTGGGAAATTATTTTTCCAGCAGATTCTGTGGAGAGCCTCTCTCACATGCCCTCCTCCCTCCAGCCTTCCCCTGCTAGCTCCCTTCACACCGCCCAGGCTGCCAGGTCCTCCTTGCCAAGAGATGACCCAAGTGCTAATACCTTAGCCACTGAGGAAACCAGAAGTGAGTCAGAATTTCTCTTCCTTCCTGATTATCTGGTCCTGTCCAACTGTGAGACTGGAAGACTGCACCGTACCAGGTATGCCCGTGCCCAGGCTTCTCTCCGAGCATGCTCTCCCCTGTTGCCAGAGCCCACATGACCTCCTCTTGTGGGGCCTGTTGCTGAGATGTGCTCCGTGTGCCTGCCCAAATCAGTGCTTTTAGCTGCAGCATCTTCTAGTGGGTAGGTCTGCCCTCACCTCTCTTCCTGCAGCTGCCAAGGTGGGGACAGATCACTATCAGTAGCCATGAGAGATGGTGCATGCAGCTTACTAAACAAAATGAATCATGTCTTTCAGCATTGTGGCTTTCATTTCTATCCTTGCGTTTTCATTGGTCTCAGATGCTGATAAGATGAAAAAAATCAACAAATCATTTTTTCCTGTACCAGAGGGCTTGGCATAACTTGGTATATGGCTACACAAGTAGAACAAAAAGTGGTTTTAGAGGAACGGGAACGAGGCCAGCATGAGTTTTGTGATGGGTGGATGACTTTCTTCTTCAGATTTCTGCAAAGTGTGGTGTCAGTAGTGTCACTGTGGTACTTACTGCAGCTTCCAGGAGTTTGCAATAGTTCTATCAAACTTTTATGTTTTTCTTCCCTCAGTCTACCCACGAGATGTGATAGCTGGTCAAACTCAGACCGCTCATTGGAACAGACTTCATTTGATGACGTTTTCGTTGATTGCCTGCAGTCGCTACCCTCCAGTAACTTGATGTACTCCTCCTGCCATGGGACTGGATCTCAGGAGGTGCCTTCCACGAAGCCTCAGGCTGCCCTGATCAGGAGTAGAGAAATCAATGGGCCATCCAGGGACTACTTATCATCTTCACCGTTGCTGGAAACTTCCTTAAATTCCACCATTCAGGTAGATAAAAACCAAGGTTCCTTGCCCTGTGGGGTAAAAGAACTAGACGTTATGTCCAACACCCCACCTCCCCGTCCCCCTAAGCCAAGCCATCTCTCTGAACGGCGCCAAGAGGAGCAGCTCCTGTGGAGTGGGCACAGCAGCATCAAGAACCCAGAATGCTCTATGGTTCCAAGAAGAATCTCTCTCTCTGGTTTAGATAACATGAGAACCTGGAAAGGTAAGTGTTGAATGCTAAGATTCAGGTACAGAGAGAAGCCTGGCAAGGACTGCCTGGCCTGGATCCTCTTCACATCTTGTGTCCACATGAGAACTTTACCCAGTGTCCCTTCCTCAAATCAGCCTGGTCTCCTAATGGGACCAGGCACTTTGTGTGGAAGTACACAGCCTGAATATTAGCAATTCTCCTGCTCTCAGGGTCCCCCTCCTTTGAGACTGACCACCAGGAGAGATACTTGGTTCCCTATAGATGCTGAAAGAAGTCATAACCCTGGTCCTTTAGCTATGCCCCTGCCTGTGGGATGGGCTCCCTACCTGAGACAGCTCCTGGTGTTTGTTTGGAGTCACTTGGGAGTCCCCTTGGTATAGAAGGTGATGTCTTTTGCTTCAACTCTGCCCCGTCCCAATCTTTGCCTCTCACAGGCATTAGTGAGGCCTGAGACTGTAGTTCATAGCTCCTTCCTTCTACTTTTCAGCAATCCCATTAGCCTCATACAGTGCCTCACCTGACGTATTCTTTCCAAATCCTAACTGGCTCAGCCGTCCCCATCAAAGTAATGCTAATGCAGCCCCATCAACTTGGTCCATTGCCCCGGACTCTGGAGCCCTCTTTTGCCTTTTTCTGTAAAGCCGTCTATTCTCCCGGGATTGTCTTGCAATTTTGCTTACAGCACCGTCTTCTGTCATCCTTATCCTCCACCTGGATCTCTCTGGCCTTCAGATGCTGGCTGGTGCGGGCCCACAGAGCCCCCTCAGTATGACTTTGTGGTACCCTCTTCTTTACTGCTTCCCTGGGCCTACTCAACTTTCTGCTACGACCCAACCAACCTAAGAATTTTACTCTTCTCTCTTATGTTGCCCTGTCTCTCTCAGACACACACACACACACACCCCCACACACCCCCACACACACCCACACACCCACACACCCACACACCCTCCAAATATAATAACCTTCATGCCACTCCCTACTAAGGCCCTGTTTTAAAGTAATTATGGAAGTTTAAGGAGAATGCAAACTCATTTTCAAATTGTATAAATCTCTCATTCTGACCGAGGAATTAAGTCACTCTGAAAAAGACCTCCCCCAATGTCCCTAGTGATGTGACCATTACACATGTTCCTTGGTGTGGAATGCGTGTGCGTTGATTACACAAAGGGTCTGAATGTGCTAGCTTGTGTGGACAGTGGACAAAAGAGGGAACACTGAAAGAGTAGGTAAGCTGATTTTAGAAAGTGAAATGAGTAAAATCAGTAGGATGATAGGAGAATTAATTAAAGTCTCAAATGTAAGAACAAAAAATTTAAATAATTTAGAATTTTAACACAAAACAATTAGCTTTTTTCTTTCAAATAAAGGCAAACAAAGGCTGAAATTAATAAAAATAAATAAAGGTTTTGACCATGAAACAAAGACAAAAGCAAGAGTGAACAGAAACAAAATGGATACAGTCAAGCAGAGGGAACAATAAAATTTATTGTTCTGCCTTTCCCATTTAGATCCACTGCGCCACCAGGGCTCCATATTTACAATTGCTGCTTTAAAGTCTTTATTTGCTAATTCCAATATCTAGACATTCTCAGAGACAGTTTTTATTGACTACTTTTTGTCATACTTTCTGTTTCTTTGTGTGCATTGTAACTTTTATTGAAAACTGGACATTTTAAATAATATATTGTAGCAACTCTGGATTCTGATCCTCTCTTGGTGTTGTGGTTCTGGCTGTTTGTTTGTTTGTCCAGTGACTTGCCTGAACTAATTCCGAAGACTCTATCTCTACCCACAGTATGTGGCCATTGAAGACTATGCTCAGTTTTTGTATTTTGTAATTTTTGTTTTTATTTTTATGGTTGGCTTCCTAGGGGTCACCTCTGGGTCAGCATACCTTAGTAGTCAGCCAATTGTTGGTCAGAGGTTGTACGTAAACCTTTGAGCCACTAACACTTCTGCCTTTTGCCAATAGATCTGTGTGTGGGTTGGGAAACACATTCAAAGTTCAGACTGTTTACAAGTCTGTCCCAGCTCTTACTTTCTATGTGGCAAGGCCTCATATTCTTCCAGGGACAAGCAGATAGATTGAGTTCTCTTTGACCTCTCCTAATTGGACATGGCTTGCACATACACAGTCTTCTAGACTCCTAGGGATGGATGAGAACTTATCAAGGCACACTTTACCTGTATCATTCTTTAGATTTCTGGTTAGATTTCTGGCTGTTCTGCTGCTCTGCTGCTGGCTACAACCAGTATCAAGACCTTGCACTATTTGCAGTGTTGGCCTTCCCTGATTTTTTGACACCAAGATTGCTATTGTTTTCAACAGTGCCCAGGGGCATGGGGTTTTATGTGCTTTATTTGAAATCACCACCACGTGTCTGTCAGTTTGTGGTACTGTGGTGGCTTGTGTGTTGCTGTGATACTGGAAGCTTTCCCATCAATATTTCAGATACCAGCAGGGTCACCCTTGGTGGACAGGTTTCAGCGGAGCTTCCAGACTGAGACAGACTAGGAAGAAGGACAAGGCAGTCTACTTCTGAAAAAAGTTAGCCAGTGAAAACCTCATGAATAGCAGCAGAACATTGTCTGATATAGTGCCAGAAGATGAGCCCCTCAGGTTAGAAGGCACTCAAAATACAACTGGAAGGGAGCTGCCTCCTCAAAGGAGAGCTGACCTTAATGACGTGGATGGAGTCTACCTTTCAGGACCTTCATCTGCTGATGTGGCATGACTCAAAATAAGAAGAAACAGCTGCAAACATCCATTAATAATTGGAATGTGGAATGTATGAAGTATGATCTAGAAAAATTCAAAGTCGTCTGAAATGAAATGGAACACATAAATATCTATATCCTAGGCATTAGCTGAAATGAACTGGTATTGACCATTTTGAATCAGACAATCATATGGTCTACTATGCCAGGAATGACAAATTGAAGAGGAATGGCATCATGTTCATTGTCAAAAAGAACATTTCAAGATCTATCCTGAAGTACAATGCTGTCAGTGATAGGATAATATCCATGCATCTACAAAAAGACCAGTTAATATGACTATTGTTCAAACTTGCACACCAACCGCTAAGGCCAAAGATGAAGAAATTGAAGATTTTTACCAACTAATGCAGTCTGAAATTGATCAAACGTGCAGTCAAGATGCATTGATAATAACTGGCAATTGGAATGTGAAAGTTGGAAACGAAGAAGGATTGGTAGTTGGAAAATATGGCCTTGGTGATAGAAACAGTGCTGGAGATTGTATGACAGAATTTTGCAAGACCAACAACTTCTTCAATGCACATACCTTTTTTCAACAACATAAACGGAGACTATACACGTGGACCAAGCCAGATGGAATACACAGGAATCAAACCGACTACATCTGTGGGAAGAGATGATGGAAAAGCTCAATATCGTCAGTCAGAACAAGGCCGGGGACCAACTGCAGAACAGACCATCAATTGCTTCTATGCAAGTTCAAGTTGAAGCTAAAGAAAATTAGAACAAGTCCACGAGAGCCAAAGTACGACCTTGTGTACATTCCACCTGAATTTAGAGACCATCTCAAGAATAGGTTTGATACACTGAACACTAATGACTGAAGACCAGACGAGTTGTGGAATGACATCAAAGACATCATACATGAAGAAAGCAAGAGGTCATTAAAAAGACAGGAGAGAAAGAAAAGACCAAAATGGATTTCATAAGAGACTCTGAAAGTTGCTCTTGAATATAGAGTAGCTAAAGTGAAAGGAAGAAATGATGAAGTAAAAGAGCTCAACAGAAGATTTCAAAGGGCGGTTCAAGAAGACACAGTAAAGTATTATAATGAAATGTGCAAAGACCTGGAGATAGAAAACCAAAAGCGAAAAACACACTTGGCATTTCTCAAGCAGAAAGAACTGAAGAAAAAATTCAAGCCTCAAGTTGCAATACTGAAGGATTCTACAGGGAAATTATTCAACGATGCAGGAGACATCAAAAGAAGATGGAAGGAATACACAGAGTCACTGTACTGAAAAAAAAAATTGGTCGATGTTCAATCATTTCAGGAGGTAGAATATGATCAAGAACCGATGGTACTGAAGGAAGAAGTCCAAGCTGCGCTGAAGGAAATGGTGAAAAATGGGCTTTGGGAATTGACAAAATACCAACTGAGATGTTTCAACAAACAGATGCAGTGCTGGAGGTGCTCACTCATCTATGCCAAGAAATTTGGAAGTGAGCTACCTGGCCAACAGACTGGAAGAGATCCATATTTTTGCCCATTCCAAAGAAAGGTGATCCAACAGAATGCAGAAATTATCGAACAATATCATTAATATCACATGCAAGTAAAATTTTTCTGAAGATCATTCAAAAATGGTTGCAGCAGTACATCGACAGAGAACTGCCAGAAATTCAAGCCAGATTCAGAAGAGGACGTGGAACAAGGGGTATCATTGCTGATGTCAGATGGATCCTGGCTAAAAGCAGAGAATACCAGAAGATGTTTTGTTGTTGTTATTAGGTGGCGTCGAGTCAGTTCTGACTCATAGTGACCCTATGTACAACAGAATGAAAAGCTACCCATTCCTGCGCCATCCTCACAATTGTTATGCTTGAGCCCATTGTTGCAGCCACTGTGTCAATCCATCTTGTTGAGGGTCTTCCTCTTTTTCACTGAGCCTCTACTTTACCAAGCATGATGTCCTTCTCCAGGGACTGATCCCTCCTGACAACATGTCCAAAAAAAAAAAAAAAGATGTTTACCTGTGTTTTATTGACTATGCAACGGCTTTCGACTATGTGGATCATAACGAATTATGGATGACATTGTGAAGAATGGGAATTCCAGGACACTTAATTGTTCTCATGAGGAACCTGTACTTAGACCAAGAAGCAGTTGTTCGAACAAGAACAAGGGGACAATGTGTGGTTTAAAGTTAAGAAAAGTGCGTCAGAATTGTATCTTTTCACCATACTTCTTCAATCTGTATGCTGAGCAAATAATCCGAGAAGCTGGA